TCATATATACAGTATTGGGAATAGACTAAGCTATTACTGTCTCAGGTCTCATGGTAAGAAATAGACCTGGGACCACTTTAATATTTAGTTTTGATGTTCCAGTGGCAAAAAACTATATCCGTTCAGATTCATTTATATACCATCCAATTTCAATGAAATTTTGTACAAATCTGGTCAGACGAGAGAGCGCAGAACTATGATCGAACTACAGGAACAGGGTAATGGGTAAAATTTGGTTTTTCTCATTTTGGACCATATCAAAATAAAATATTTTCTCTCTAAACCATTTTGAACAGCGTGAAAAACAAGTAAATTAGTACATTGGAATATTGTTGTACGGTTATTTAATACAGGGAAAATATAAAATATCCCCACCGCAGTAAACCTGCAGACTAAGAAAATTTCCATTTTCCTAGCTGGATTTCTACTCAAATATTTCCTTAAAATTCTCAGATTTATTTCCTATTTGAATAACATTAATTTTAATGAGTTCTTAGGTTTGCTGCTACAGGGAAGGTATTGAGGTGTTTTTTAATTGAAATGTTGATAGCTTCGTATGATAGCGTTGATAGCTTAGTAGTACAAAAATGGCAAATTTGATTAAAATATATCCATAACAAGCAAACTAAAACAGTTTATTTATTCCCCATAAGAATAACATGGGAATTTTAAATTTACAATTTATTTAATTATCTCTGTAACCGTTAGGCATACAAATACTCTTCAATATACATAATTATTTCCTTTTTTAATTTCCACAAAACGGTTTAGAAAGAAATTGTTAAATTTTGTGTTTTTAGGGTCGAAAATGGGAAAAACCAATTGTTACTCCATAAAACCCCCCATAAACCCCCATTCTCATAGTCCGATCATGCTTGTTTGCGAACTTGTTTGAATAAACGTAGGTTCACACGTTTGTACCAAATTTCATGAACATCGGATAATTTTTGCTTGAGCATATATAAGCAGCATATAAGCATATAAGGGTTGGCATTAAGTATAAAATGCTTGTTGCAGCAATACTCAAGCTTTGCGTTTGCAATTGGGAAGAACACAGTTTGGTAATTTTTTTTTTTAAGAGGTTTGGCGGCCTCTTTTAACCTTGCATTTGCCGGTCCACATAGACTACAGATCTGTGCGTGGAACGTATCCAGCAAAGCAAGGGTTGAGCCGGTACAGTTCCACGGTGAACTGTACTGATAAAAGTTAGTGGCAGTGACCAGGATCCGAACCCACGACACTACTGCCTTGGGCCCGAAGTCCGCGACGCTACCGACTGAGCCACCGACTCACCAAATTTTGTTCTTTAAACATACAGCATGCTATAGTATAACACATATACCATAGCCATAATGTTCTACCACTGCACCTAAACCTTAGAAAAAATAAACCATCAAACATTTGCACAATCACAAATCATTCAATAAATTAAAAACATAAAACATAACTGTAAACAATCCTACTTTGACAGTTCCCATTGCATATAAGTTTTTGTTTCTGCCTTGCAGTGGTTACCATAGGTTGTGGCGCACACCGCTGGGAGCGCCAAGTAGTTACGTAGCGCGTTACTACATGGGGCAGCTCCCAGCGGTGTGCTGTGCGCCATAACCTATGGTAAACGCAGCACAGCTGACAGTCTATATTTAATTCTTTTTGTCTATGATATCATAGAACCAACTTAAATTGTTGAAACAGCTGACTAAATTCTTCAATTCCTTTTAAATATGAGTACTTATAAGGTTAACATGGGGAACGACAGAGCCACTGGGCCAGAGCCCGATAGGATTTTTCAGATAAGATTAGGCCAATAAGTTAATCGGGAATGTGAGCTATCATCATGCCAAATTTCAGCCAAATCTATCCAGTAGTTAAAGCGTGATTGAACTTAAAACAAACAAACAAACACACAAAGTTTCACATTTATAATATTAGTATGATATGCAGGGTGAAAAAAAGTCTGGAAACGGCTTAATATCTGTTTAACCAAATCCGTTATAAAATTCAAACCTTTCACATAAACTTACATGCATGAAAAATACTTTTTGCAAGCATTACCATTTTTTTACCTTCACCAGGGGATGGCCCATGAGGAGTAGGTGTTACCACTACTTTATACATTACATTATATTTACCATTTGTTCTGTACTATTAATTTCCCTTTTTACTTTGTATTTAATATCATATGTTCAGCTGTTTTATGTTTTAGTGAATTTCCCTATAGGGAAGTAGCTATTACCGTAGGTGGCACGGTAAGACCTAGACCCGGGACCGATTTACTTTTTCATTTTGATGTCCCCAGAGGCCAAAAACACCATTTGTTCAAATTTTTATATATGTATATATATATATATATATATAGACTTATATATATATATATATATATATATATATATACGTCCGTGAACGCGATAACTTGAGTAATCTTTGTCCGATTTTGATGAAATTTGGTTTAAAGGTGTAAAGCGGGATAAACTTGAATGAGTTCGCGAACCAGCACGATCAGACCATGAGAACGGGGCTTTACGGGGGGTTTTATGGGGTAAAAATTGGTTTTTCTCACTTTTGACCCTCAAAACACAAAATTTCCCGATTTCTCTTTAGACCTTTTTAAAGAGCTTAAAAAAACAAATAATTAAGTATATAAAAGTATTTTTGTTCGATTATTGGTAACGGAGAAAATTAAAGAAATTGTAAATTTAAAATTCCCATGTTATTCTTATGGAGAATATTGTCAAATGTTGTAGTTTGCTTGTTTATGGATATATTTTGATCAAACTTGGCAAATTTATTTATTTTGTACTAAGCTATCAATATTTTACTCAAAAACACACTTTATTAGTTTCCTTGTAGCAGCAAACCTAGGTACTCGTTAAACCTAATGTTATTAAAATATATTTAACTGAAAATCAATTCAGACAAATGGAAATTCGCTTAGTCGGCAGGTTTGCTGCGGCGGGGGTATTTTATATTTTGTTGACTATGAGTATTTACCAACTCTAAGCCTGTGCAGGTATATTCTGTAAGAACTTTGGACTGCCGCCATTTTGTAACGGATTAACCTTTTTTGACACGGTTTTGGCCAATGAACTCCACTTGACCAGACCTTTAAAAAGATGTGAATATCAACCTATGCTTAAATTAAAGATTATGTACCTACTCCTCATGGGCCGTCCCCTGGTGAAGGTAAAAAAATGGTAATGCTTGCAAAAAATAGTTTTCATACATATAAGTTGGTGTGAAAGATTTGCATTTTTTAACAAATTTAGTTAAAAAGATATCAAGCCGTTTCTAGACTTTTTTGTCACCCTGTATATGAGTTTAAACGGAGTGTGTTTTGGCCTCTGGGGCCATAAAGGAAAAAGTAAATCGGTCCCGGGTCTAGGTCTCACCATGAGACCTATGGTAATAGCGTATTCCCTGTATGGGAAATTTGCTAAAATAAAAATTCCCACGCAATTTTTTTTATTTTATACTAAGCTATTAGGTATTTTACTAAAAATTACACTTTATTACTCTCCATGTATTAGCAAACCTAAGTACTTGTCAAACCTTATGTTACCTATTTAAATAGATTAAGTGAAATTCAAATAAGGCAAATTGAATTTCGCTTAGTCTGCAGGTTTGCTGAGTTGGAGGTATTTTTTAGACCCAATTCATGATGTACTGAATGTTTAAGATAAAAGAGTCCCATATTTTAAAACAAAACAATACTTCCATCGATGTAAAACTTTGAAATTGGGGACCCTCTTTCAGATTTTAAAGTTAAATTCCAAAAAAACAAGCAACCAATTAAAATTTACACTACATTGCATTAAAATCCAAGTTCAATAGCACTTAGAATGTAAAAAAGGGTCACACTTGAAGTTTAAAGATTGGTTTTAACTAACTTACAGCATAGCAGAGTCCATGATTACAAGTGCTGTATTGTGTACTGAGTTCTTTGAGTATAGGTAACTGATTTGTAAGTCAAGTAACAGTCTAATAAACACCAACAAGCTTTAAGATTTCTGCAGGAATGCCATCAGCTAAACATGTTTCACTAGATCAAATATAATCATCATGAAATTGCAAATATTAACATTTTGGGCCATAGGGCCCAGGTTATTTTTAAGATGAATCTTTTAAACTTAGTTGAGTTTCGCTAGGTTTAGTTCATGGTTATAACTATAAAAATAGTTATAAAAAAAACTAAGAAGTATTGATTGTGTGGCAGTGGTTTAGGGTTGAATATAGCCGTCTGTATAATTGTTGTTACTTTTTTACAATGTAAAGTAAGATTGTAGTCACCAGGTGCTCTTCCATTTCTCAGGGATCAGACAACGAAGGATAGTTCCTCTTCCCGAAAAGCTGGTAACGCGCCCTAATCTCCAAATTCCCTTGCTGGTCACGGTGGGTGCTTTGGAAATAACACTTCAATGACAGTAGCCACAGCGACAGGTTCCATGATCCATGACCGTAGGGGGTGATCAAGTCACTAGCTTTTGGGTTACAATCTTGTAGCCTATCACCCAAGGATTATTCTGGATGTCCTGATACAGTTGCTTCCAGCACCTGATGTTACTCCAGTTGATATCACCATGGTCATCTCGCATGGGGGCCTTGTGCTCTGCCGATCTAGCATTACCTTCAGGCCGGTTTCTGGCATGCTGCGCTGCTCGTCAGAGCCCTAGGCACATTCTCTGGGGTCCTGCAATCTTGGGTTTCCACCAGTAAACTGGCTTCTTTCTGCAGTGGGCGAAAGTCCTAGGCATGGAACAGTCAAATGCCGAAGATGGTGGGACGCATCTTCAATGTGGCTTGAAATTCGGCACTTCTAATGTCCCCAACAGTTTGATTTTTGATGTAACCCTGAAAAGTGGCCTGGCAAAGACGACTGAGGTCCCAACATTGAGACGGATGAGCTGAATTGGCATATGGATACCCAACTCAGGAAAGCTCGGGAAGTTCCCTGAAGACGATTGCCTGATAAGTCCCTTGCAGAGTAGTCCTTGGAGACTCACCAGTCCGTGACTGTTGGGCTAGGGCTTCAGATGCCAGAGAGATGTTAGGGATCATCTTTCCTTGCCAGGGGTGACAGATGATGAAAATGTCACCTGTATTAAGGATATATGAAGGTAGCTTGGCTGCCATCTCTACAACATACTGACCCTCTGTGTTTGTTTGGGCTAAACCCCATTCCACCGCCCTAGCATTGAAATCCCTTCAAACAGTCACCTCACCAACACCATCGATTTTTAAGATCTTGTCCTCCAGAGAGTTGACCATCTGACAGTACTCTGCAATGTGCTGGTTGGGTGTGAAGTAGCAGGAGAAAAAAATACTTGGTACAAAATATTTACTCCTGCATAATAATTTTGCATTTAAAACTATCTTACGAAATGGTAAAGTAAAGTAGTAGGGCTACAGTAGTAACGAATGCGTAAATACAGTGTTAACGTCACGAGTAGAAAATTTAAGGTACGACCCTTGGCGAGGGCTTTAAAAACTTCTACGAGTGTCGTTAACACTATTTATGCGAGTTGCGTACACCACTTTACCTACGACAGTGTTATAATTACTTAAAAACACTACTCATAACTTCTAAGAAGAGAGGTTATGTTTTCGTTTATAGTATCATAGCCACTGAAAATTATGGAACGAAACATTGTACCAAACACTGATTGTTGAGCACCACTCGACAATTAAATTAGCCGATTAGTTCGAATCATTACAATTTTAATTCCTCTATCTCAATAGTTGAACCCATGGTGGAAGGAAAATACAAAGGTGTGCTATTCCCGTAATTTGCTGTTGAAGTCACAGTCACCAAGATTGCAAACACCATTTCACCATTTAGAACAAAAATATATAAACAATAACAATCAAATCAAAAACAAATATATATATTTAAATATGGCAATACTGTACAATCAGGTGATCTTTCGTTTGCAATCTGGGTGACGTCAGAATATGACGGGAATAGCACACCTATGTATTTTCCTTCCACCATGACTTGAACCTCATTGGTCCGTTACCTGTGTTATGATAAAACTATGATGTTATGAGAAACTTTTAAATTCTAACAACTGAACTGAAACGGCTATTTTAATAAACGGTCGTAGGTAAATGTATTAAAATGTGAATCCAAATATATAAAGTTTTAAAACTGTTTCGGGTAAACATTTGTTTGATCATTCACACAACAAATTCAGCAGTATCTGATGGTTCAAAAATAGTGTTTCCTCCCATGCAACACCTAAAAGGTTTAAATTCTTGTATTTTGAAATGTTTATAATTCTTATGGGTCATGTAAGGGATGTCCTTACCCTCAATGTATAATGGTTCTCACTGTTATAATTTATTTCTGAATGTTGTAGAGCAATTAAACATCACAAAGTAATTGTTGGAGTTTCTATAGATTGACAAACCTAATATTATTTAGCATTTTCGAGCAATATTGCTGCTTTTAAATACATCGAAATACATTCAGTGATTATACATAGTTCCTTAGTGAATTTTCTCAAACCTGCCTAATGACCTTGAACCAAGGTCCCTTTCATATACCAACTCCCTGATTCCTGGTCCTGCTTTAATGACGCAAGTCCAAAGTACAGTAAAGAAAATTCTTTGGTGAAAAAGTATTATGGATTTGGTGTTAGTGCCTTAATGAAGTTAAAACTGCTTGAGCAGCTGATCAACTGATATGAATGTGGATAGGCCTACTGTTAAATAACATTTTTTTTATGTATGAAATGGTCTTCGTTCATTCTCATACGTGACTTCGGAGCGTACTCCTAGTGGTAATTATATTTAAGATTTTACCAAGAGTTTTAACAGCCAAACAATGAAGAAAAGTATTGGCAGAGTAAAATTTTATGTTTTCAGTCAGGCTGATGATGCTAAAAAGTTAAAGAGGAATATTCATCCAAAACTGGCAATTAATTTATCTTCTCCCAGAAACAAGTTTTTATTCGCATTTCGTAAAGTAACTTCGTAACTTCGGAAAGTAAGCTTTAGGCTACGACTTGTTGTTTGTAAAATAACTATAAGCTATACATATCACAAATATCAGTCTTACCCTTATAAGCTTACTTATGTTAAATGTCTTATGTTATAGTCCTTCTTTATATTCAATTTACTTTTGAACTATGAGTTTGATAACGTTATACTCTAACTAGAATATAAATTGCAGTTTGGATGTCAAGTTAACCTTTATTTTCTAATGAACACTTATAAGAAAGTATCACATTGGCCCAGTTAAATATGCCTTAATCAATAGGATTTAAATGAAAATGTCCCCACTTAATAAAAAATCATCGTAGTTATAAACACTAAACAAAGAATATAATTCAATTTCACACTAATTGTTCAATCATAAAACAGATTATATTTCACATCGTTGATCTTCTCCGGATAATAATGCAATGGCAATCGACAATTATTGACAAACAATTGATAATGAATGGTGATAATCTATTTGCTATAACCATCAATTCATAGTTTCAATCAAGCATTTAATAACGAAAACAAGTGGTAGATGACGAATAAACATAGACTGTTTGGAATGTAACTCAATACATTTCCTAACTATATAAGTTAGTAAATCAACAAAACTTTTTAACATTTAAAATTAATACTAATTAAAAATAAATTTCCCTTCAAGAACCTAACCTAAGTTCATATAACATTTATTTCAACTCTGTAAAACTACTCTATTTTATTTTATTTTATTTTTAACGGACATTCCATTTTGTTTGATGTGGTGCTATTTGTTTACAAACATTATCTGTATCAATATAATAGTTATGCAATGTGTACAGTTGCAAAACGGCTAATATTAAGTAACATGTATACAATTTTGATACTAAGACATAGGTGACAAACATTAATAACAATAATATAATAATTAACAACAATAACTAATAGCAAAAACAATAACAATGACAATCGCCCTATGTACTAACCATAAATAATAAGGAAAACAGGCATAATAAAAAATAAAAATTAGCTTAATAAGTAAATAATACTGTAGTCAATAACAACCTAACAAAATCAAAGATTCTGACTAAAGACGAGCAATTATGAAAGACTTTGTCTAATATTTGCAAAGAACATGCAGAGTAAATAAATATAATTTTAAAAAGAAACGAGAAAAACAATCGTGTATTTAATAAGATTTTTATCAACAAGAATATTACAAAAAAAACAAAAATAAATTAACAGAACACTCATTCACTATCTCCCATGTATACTGTACTTGACATGTTTATTCCTAGTATACTGAATAGTGAATAGTTACGGACCGTTGTTATAAATTCAGACCAATCAGCTTTATTCCCTCAAAACACGTTCCGCTTAGTATGGTAAACATATCATTACCATGTTGATTCGTTCTTGAACTCGGTAAATGTAAATGATCTATAATCCTATTGATTTAGGTTTATTTTTTTCATTAAAATTTAAATTCCTGATTTGACTCTAGTCAATTTTTAAATATTTAGAAAAGAAGGAGCTAGATTTGTTAATTCTTTTTTTAATATTAAACTGTTTGAAATGAATAGAGTTTTGAATTCTTACCTTTATTTTACCGTATGCTTTGTACAAACCTTGCAGTAAGGTTATAGTGAACTGTTTTCTTTGGTCTGATTATATTATATACGAGTTAATCTTACACAGCTTTTATAAATTTAACATTGTTGGAGAATCTTGCAAAAACTACGTAAAGTTAAAAATATGAGAAAGGAGTAATAAAAACCTTGAAGGTTTTTTTTTTGAAGATGCTATATTTTTAAGAACTATAAACACTTGGTTAAAAATGGAGATCAACCAAAGTGCTATACATTGAAAATTTACTACTTCGGACTCAGTGGTTGTGGTGTTTTTGTTTTGCTTTTTTATATTGGTTTTAACCTGAAAAAGATTGCTGAGCCAAACAATAATAAAATCCTTGCTGTAACGAATTGATAATTAAAAGAAAAGAGTATCTCTCGATAAATATAGTGTTAATAGTTAAAGTTTCAACATAATGCCATATTCCACATTATGTGTACCACAGTAGGTTTTAGTGGTTTACCCCATTATAAAACATTACGCAAAACCTGAAAATGTTTTTGAAGGGTGAAATATTACTGTCACGTTCTTGATAAATGACATTAATGTTCTTAAGTACGACAATTTTAAGGCGAAAACTCAACGAAGATAAGTAATACAGATGTTCTTCAATGTTTTCTTGACCGTGCTTGTTACGAAAATACAATACAAACCAAATTAACTGGTAATATAAGCTAAGTTTTACATTCATCCACTTATTCCTAATACTGTCATATTTTATTTCTTAAAGTAGAGGTTGTTCTTTATATTTAACGATGAAAAATAAAACACACACGAACATTTTGTTTGCAAAACACATTACGCATACACAATTGTTTGTATATAAATAATTGTTGTTATCAAAAGTTAAAATGTATAGTTTTTGTAGGAATATAAGTTGAATTGTGAAAGATCTCAATACATCTATTACGTACAAGTACGTACAGGTTATTCATTACTATTTTTTTAACATAATTCTAGTATACAAACATTTGCAACCAATTGTAACTTAAATTGAAAATTAGTTAATAGACTGATGACATTCTAATGGAAACTTACTTTAGTAAACTGCGCGTGGGTGTGGAAAGTCGACTCTTTTCATCCTCGGTTTTATAAGACCTATCGCTTTGCAGCAAGAAGGGCTAACGGAAAGAAATGGATCGGTCCATTTTTTCGATTTTGATTTTATTTACTTTTATATTGGTGAATGTGAAGCCTGTGTTATATGGGAAATAACAAGTTCATTCCTGAGAAAAAATATAAATAAAAAACACCAAAGCGGAAAGAACAAGCTCATTCCGGACCTTAAAAACGCTCTACCGTAAGACTTCCCAAAATGGACTTAGCTACTTATTTTCGTCAGTCCTTCCTGTAAATATTTAACATTTTTTTGCATGCAATATACTTCTAAAATCAGTCATACGAAAATAAAAATTAAGAAAAATAACTAAAGATAAAATTTTATCTATCTAGTAGACTGAAAACTTTAAAGTTACAATATACCCGAAGTGTGCATTTTCTGTAACATATGTCAGTTATTATTTAATGAGGAATAAAATCTT